CTTTGTGATTGGGGATAAAGTAAGAAGTCTTGAGAAATTAAGATCTTAAATTTACTATTCCCTAAGTAATGCTAATTATAGTCAGAAAATGACAGTGAATTGTAGGTTACTCAACAGCCAGAGAGCTGGTCAGTATGGGTAAAAGATACCTACATGTATGGCCAAAGTCAAACTTGCTTATGAGTACTGCATCTCAGGTCAACTACTGAACATGATTAGTACAGAAAAGTTTAATTATTCCACATACTACCACAAAAACTGAATTATAATTTCTGCAACTAAAGGTTAGCCTAAAAACAGCAGATAAACAATAAAGTTTCGGGGATATTTTATCACTAAATCAATTTTTTTTACCAAGTATAAAAAAGGAACTATAATTTCTCTATGAGTGGAAAGAAAAACAAATAAGGACATATAGTAACCAGCCATGTGTACTCACTCAAAAAGAAACTCCCCGGTGAGCCACACAAGACAATCTTGCAGTTTGATCATTCTGATTGCTAAGTTCAAAGAAAGCTAAAAGCAGCCAATTAAAAGGGAAAGTCAACAAAACTGAAATGAAATGCTAAGCCACAGAACTGCCAAAAGAATATACAAGAAGCCAAACCACTGGAATATAAAGGTCAGGAATCATACCCTATGACAATGGCGTCACAAGTGTCCCGTTTCCTCCCCTGGCCTCCAGAGGGAGCAAGCACACCCATGTGCTGCTCAGACACACATACAAGCAAAACAGCCATACACATGATAAAAACTGCTGTAACTGGCAACAACTCACTACATGTTTTGGTAAGTCAGTGACTATTCCCTGGCAACAACAAATGTTACACTTCTGACAGCTTTTGCTCCTCCCATTAACCCACACACCCAATGCCTGGGCCAAGGGTGGTTGGTATCCTACAGCTTTCCAGGAGCTGACAAGGAGCCCTGTGCACTCTTCTCCCCTAGTAGCAGCTGTCTTTCATAGATCACTGCATTCTAAACCCTCAGAACATTCTTTTCAAATTAGCCAAGTCCTCTATACGAAGCCACTGTTCTTCACAAACACACTACTAAAACAAAGGACATGAAAGCAGCTTAATAAGTTAAACAGGGTTAGTTACCCAAAATGCTGGTTCTGATATATAAAAACCAGGTCATTATAACTAGGCAGGTTTTTAAAAACCAAATACCAAAGATATACCCTACAAGATCCCCAATCTAAAAACTTGGTAAATCCATGGAGGAAGTCTTCATTCATTCCACAAGGTAATGGCATGGCTCAGATTATCAATTAGAAAATGGAAGTCTGAGGCCAGTCATGGCACTCTTGTAATCCCAGCAACAGAGGAAAAGGGAGGAGGGCCAGCCGTTCAAGGTTCCCTTCAGCTCGTCAGCAACATCACAGGCCAGCCTGAGCTTACATTTTGTCCATTAGCTCATGGTGGTTTTTCATCTGTGGTACAGCACTACTAATGAAACCCAGGGCCTCACACACACTTGGGAAGTGTGCTACCACTTTGTTAAATCTCTGTGGCAGCCCCGGTCGTGAGACAGACTGCCTGCCTGTGTAACACAGCTACTTAATAACTGTCTTTGATACACACACAAAGCTTCATTTCTAGTGATTACCCTTTCAACTGGAAAAGAAACACTAAATCTAAACCTTACCTGACTCTGACAGCCAGAACCTGGAGGCTGAACAGGAAAAGCAGCCAGTTGGGCAGGTGATCTCCATCAGCCAGCCACTAAAGGGTCATTAAGTGTTATCTACCTTCAAGGCAATCAGTAACTTTTCAGGGAAAGTGCTGCCTTGGGCCCTCTTCTCCAAACCTCTGAAGAGCCCGTTACTAAGATAACTGTGAGCAAGAACCTCACCAGAAGAGCACACTTTCTAGCCTCTTACTTAGCTATAGCAAGTGAAATGTGAGCCACAGCTAAGGAGCCCAAACACTCACTCATTTCCCTTGCTGGTGTTTGACTTGTCAGGAGCCAGGTCTAAGGCTAGGCCTCGAAAGTATCTTCTCAAACACTTACAAGTGATGAGAACCTTCTAAGTGATACTCCATCAACAGGTGGATAAATTACAAGGACAAGTCAAAGGCTGCTAATTAAAACATTACTGTTAGCTTAGAGGGAAGTTTTAACTCTTAACAGGTAGAATCAGAGCCTCCTAACTCTTAAGAGAACACTATAGCAACCACAGAATTTTCTATTAACACTCTTTTGTTTGAGATGGAATCCTGTAGATATGTATGTCTGCACCATGGCGCCTGGCTTTAATAACCTGCTTTAACTGGCACCAGGAAGTATGCTTGATCCCCTCTAGAAGAGTACTAATGAATACAGTAGGCAATGCTAAATTCCCAGTTTTCACAGGCAAGGAGCTAGAGAACTTTTCTAGCATAAAGGTTGTACAAGAGAAAAACGACACACCAACACCACTTTCAAAGCACTTTAAATTCCCGACACTTGAAAGTACTAGACAATCATAACGATGCTGTTTTTGAATGATCACTTGATTTTTTTCTTTAGCCAATCATCTCTGACATGGATGAAAAACATGGGTATAGAAACATGAAGCAAAAAAAAAAAAAAAAAAAAAGACTTTTAAAGGATTTACATGTAATGTGATCAAATGCTGTTTTCTTGAAATTACTTCAAACCAAGATGCTCATCATGTTGATCCCTCCCCATCCTGGAGAACTGGTAGAACAGCTGCCAAATGTGCAGCAGGCCCTTGGTTTTGATTCTAGTTAGACAAGCAGAAAGAAAGAAAAGTAAAACCTAAAACTAAGTGCCATCTTCAAAGATGTGGGGTAAAGCAAGAGATAGGGGGAGCAAAGTAAGTGATTCCTTTTACCCAGTGACTCGATGATGCATCAGCATTGAACACTGTCCTCGCAGAGAAAGCAGCATCCATGCTCATCCTTGCTGATGGACATGGAGTCAGAGGCACTGCCTGGTTAACTATTCCATGGCAGTGCACTGTCCCTGGATAACTATTCCATGGCAGTGCACTGTCCCTGGATAACTATTCCATGGCAGTGCACTGTCCCTGGATAACTATTCCATGGCAGTGCACTGTCCCTGGATAACTATTCCATGGCAGTACACTGTCCCTGGATAACTATTCCATGGCAGTGTATTTATTGTCCTTAATCACCATTTGATCTCATTTTTTTTAAAAGTAACGAGACTGAATTACTGTTTTCCAGAATCAATAACCAGTCAAAACTTAAGAGAATACCCTGTAACAAAGACAACAAAACCCAATGGGAAAAACTACTGAAGTATATCATTTCCAGAGAGAGAAGGTGTGGCTCAGCAGCACACTAGCCAGGCTCTCAATTCATAAGAAACAAGTTCTGGAGAAATCAAATTCCTTTAAGCTGGAGCTGGCCACAGTGACATAAGCTCGAAGTTCCATATTCTCAAGATGCTAAAACAGGCAATCAGTCGAGTCACAATTCAACACTGTCCTGGGTGACACAGAAAGACAGCCCCCATTTCAAAAAGAAGAAAATGAAGCAAGATATCATGCTTTTTGAGGTTTTAGTTGTTTCTCTAAAACATATTTCTTTGTACCTGCAAACAAAAGCCCCACTTTAAAATTATGCATAAGTGGAAAACATCTGTTGATTTGTTTTGCCTTGTTTGGTTTTTTGAGCCAGGGTCCCCTTCCCTAACCCAGGCTACCCTCCTGCCTTGGCCTCTCCTGTGTGGGTGCCACCATGTGATAGTTACCTCATTTCAAACTGCAATTCTTTACTTATGCAATTACTTCGTTGTTCTTTTGGGGTTTTTTTTGCCTCAAACTGATTCCTAGTATATTAGACTCAGAACTTTCCATAATAATTCATAAGACATTCAGGGAAAAACTCTTAAATCCAGTTGTAAAATACAAATTTTAGATGAACACAGAAAGCTGGGCGGTGGTGGCACTCGCCTTTAATCTCAGCACTGGGGAGGCAGAGGCAGGCCGATCTCCGTGAGTTCAAGGCCAGCCTGGTCTCCAGAGCGAGTGCCAGGACAGCCAGAGCTACACAGAGAAACCCTGCCTCAAGAAACAACAAAAACAATAAGAGCACAGGAAAACCTTTTTTCCCCCCAGAAAAGAGCCACAACAGTACCAGATACATGTGCTGAACAAGTGTCCTATAACCACTGTAAGAAAGAACAATCATGTCCCACAGCCGCGATATGATACTTGATCAGACATCTGTCACAACAAAAGCATTAGACATACTCTTCTTCAAATCCAATCCCTGTTGTACAATCAATACTGTCTGACTTTGTGACAGCATCTCAAGAATTATTTACACGTTGGTCATTGTTACCCAGTAAGTAGTTTTGATGAGCACTTTATAGTTTTTCCAGGATTTTCAGACAGTTAGCTCTGATTCATTTGTGTTATTTTTCAGAATACCTTAAAGTGAGCAAAACTGTGGAGAGTTTGGATCCTGATTTAGTACCTTTGTCGTACAGGCTTGAGAAATTATAGTCACTATTGCATCACAACATTAACAGCACTATCTGTTTCTCTAAGCTGCAAAGATGGCTCAAGTAAAAAAAAAATGTAATGAGGATTTAAATGAAAATAATGTCTAGTTTGCCAGATTTCTAGTCCCTGATTGACAGCTACACTCATGATTTGTTCCAGCCATATTTAAAGACAGCCCTTACAAAGTGAGCAGTGCTAACTCAGCATCAAAAGCACTACCAGTCAAGTGTCCACTGTTGTCTGTGACAACAGCCTGGCTTCACTGGCCCTTGCTTATTTGGACACTGGGGAACTCGGCTCTAGATATGTGAACTGCACAGACTAGTCATGAAGCTCAATGTTGAATGTCAGCTGTTTTGAGTTTGAAAACTTACATTAAATCTAAGCTTACTGCTAAAGTGTCACCTTCATCTGGAATAAAAGCATTGACAACAGACATTTACGAGTAAAGGCTGAGATCCTGGGAGGCGATAGCGATAAACAAAGCAGAACTCATGGTTACCATATTTACACATACTCTTTGTTGTGTTTCAATGCCACATGGTCTGATTCAAAGTAATAGACATCAGGGTCATCGTCCTCCTCTTCTGCAGGGGGCTGACTGGCACTCTCTTTGGCAGATGGCACATGTCCCATATTCACTCTGGCCTCTGAGGGTGGCTCACTCAGTCCTTCACTTCCATAGCTTTGAGAGTCACAACACAGAACCTTTGCATTTTCAACAGGATTTCTGGGAGACTCACTTACGTTATCACTAGCAGTTGTATTTGTTTCATTGGGACTGAGATTACTCTCCTCAAATTGTCCGTTTTCTCTATAAGGAGATGCGGTTTTAGTGGGACTACCTCTGCTCGGAGCTGCCCTTCGAGGCGAAGTTCTCAGGGTATACCGATGTTCTTGAGGTTCAGCTAAAGATGTCATCTGAGCCGAAGCACAGTCTAGCAGAGAGGCGGGCTCTGGCTCCGCAGAGACTGGCATGCTTCCAGTACCTGAGTCCAGAGGGCCACTGCCGCTCTCATCACACTGCTCTCTCGAGACACTGCTATCTCCCACCACATCTACTTCCTCCTCAGAATCTCTTAAGGATGACTGAATTTCAGAAACAGGGCCTGAAGCTGGCTCAGCAGTCGGCGGCTTACGACGTTCCACCGGTAGGCAGGCAGTTGCTAGTTTGTGGTCCTCCAACTTGACCTGCACTTCCGACTTTGTGCAAGGCACAAGATGGTCTACACAACTGTCCTCCTTCCTACTACCAAAGAACATTGGAGTCTGGGTTTCTGAATCCCCATTTCCAGCTACTGATTTTTCCTGCAACACATAGGAACCAGTGCTATTGTGTTTAGTGCTCCCGTCAGGCTGACAGTCCTCACAGTTTACAAGAGCTGAGTCACTGTCCTCAACACCATTGACAGTCAAATAGCCTGTGATTTCTTCTACTATGGCAGTATTAAGTGGCCCTTCCTCACTGACAGTCATCTTTTTAATTTCCCTTTTCTCACAATCATCCAATACAAGACATCGACAAGCTCGTTTAGTCCCTTGAAACTCTGCATCATGGTCCACTACTGTCCTCTGTTCTACCGAGCCCTTGTCTGGTTTCACAGGCGAGTCTTCTTCTGAGCTGTTTGTGGCTTCGGCTCTAAGACAGCGTTTAATGTTCTTCAGGACTGGCGGGGCTGGCTCTGCCTGCTTTCTTTCACAGCTCTCTAGGCCCTGCCTTTCTAGGTCTTCCTTCTCGGAAGAGGAGAGTCTTCTTTTCCTAGGGCTTACCCATGCCTCTCGCGCACTCTGCTGTTTTATTTCAGAAGCTCTGCCGTTATTGCTTCCTTTCTGAATGGGCACGGGCTCTGGCCTCTTCTTTGGTGATCTTGACCGTACTTGGGAATGAGAAGAGATCTCTTCTGGGTGAGCAATGCTACGGTTCCTTAAAGTTCTACCACAAAAAGATTCATCCAAGCCGTTTAACCCCACTGTTGATCTTGTAACACGAGTAGATCGGGAAGCAGCCATACTATGGCAAGTCCCTACCATACGGTCATCATGATCCACTCATTGGGGAACCTTCAAAAATGTAAACAAAATAATGAGAAAAAGGTAATCGTTAATATATCTAAAACAAAAGTATAAAGTTATAACTTTATATCCAAGTACAGCCATTATTAATAAATAATGGGGCAAAGGTTACTTTATTAAAATGTCCAATAGTGACATTAATAACCGCTAACAATTAAATATCATTTCATATGTTCTAGAACTACATGTTATGTTTACCATCCCTCCACTAACTGAAGTCTCACAACTCACACAGGTATACTGTACCTATTTTACAACTGAGAAGACTGAGGCACAGGCAGCCTCATGACGGTCACATACATAGCCAGTTCATATAGAATCAGAATGGCACGAAGTACCCAGATCTGATGAACCTTAAAGCAGCCCTCTTGAAGCTATGTGTCAGCTAGTTATCTTCAGAACACTATCAGTCTGGGGTTTTTACTGAAATGCTTTTGGGTTTAGTGCCTTGATAACAAGCTATTTGGCACATTGCTATGGAGTCTCTGTAATTAAACAGTGGCCAGAAGCCCCAACATGAGCTTGCACTGGCTAACAACACAGGTGATCAATCTAAGCTTTAGTCTCTAGAGAAAGGCACAGCACGATGTTTAAGTGCTCTGAGGAGGGCAGAGAGCAAGAGCAGTCCTCAAAGGGAAACAGTCACTTCACAAGTAGGGAATACCATTTCACATATATCACACGTGTGTCTTTACACACACACACACACACACACACACACACCCTTTCCTTTGAAATACATGAGTTTTCAGGTAAGGATGCTCCAACTTTCTTAGAGAAATAGGAAGCTTACTGGGACGTCCTCACTGGGTAACTCTGACATCAGAGCTAGTGATATTCTCCAGGTCTTCCATATTATCAAGAAGAACAAAGGCACTATTAATACTCAAAATCTCCGTCCCCTTCTGTTGGGTTTTCTTAGCTATCTTGCCTCTTCACTGGCTGCTTAACTTCAGGTGGGGTACAGAATGGGTGAAGAAAGGATCAATAACAGCTACAATGTTAACTCCCCACGCAAATCAAATCAAGCACATTTCCTTGTAGACCTCTACTGCACTGAACTAATACTGGCAGTTGAGCTACACAGCAAACACTAAAGGAGACTGCTGCCCTCTTCTGGCTGCTCCTAATGAGGTAAGGAAGAAAAGCACTCTGAGATCTGTTAAATGGGTTGGACTAAGCTATGTTTCAAAGCAGGGCATACTTTAAAATCTTGAAAGCACAAGTACTTGTCATGGAAACAAGTTAGCAGGCAGCATGGGACACACCATCAGTATGGAGACGGCGTCTCACGCCAGCCCCACTGTCCAAAGACTCCCAGCAGTGACCTGACTGCAATTTATTTTTCTAACATCAAGAGGCCAGCTCTGCTTTACTGACTGGTAATAAATACTGATCAATTTTCACTTCCAATCACAATAAATGTAAGTTCAATGTGTTAACACAAACTGAAAAAAATTTAAAGCAATTTATTTCTTTGATGTACTAAAGTCTGGAGCGCTCAAAACTGAAGGTTATATAATATCTATGTAAATTTGAATATATTTACTAAAACTAAAAATAGTTTTATAAAACTACAAAATACAAATTTAATTATCTTCGCAATTTGTGATTGAGAAATAATAAGAGAAATTCATTAAGCTTTACTTTTCAGTAAGAAGGCCCATTAAACCCCAAATGATGTGACATAGTTTGATGATCCCCCGTGGGAGGCCTCACCCTCCCCGGGGAGTGGATAGGGGACTAGTGGGGGGGCATGGGAGGATGGGGAGAGGGAACTGGGATTAAATAAGATTGTAAAATAAGATTGTTTTTAATGTAAATAAAATGTATTAAAAAAAAAGAATGTCCATTAAAGGCTTATAAAACTCTGAAGTGACTTCACTTAACTGGCTTTCCTTAACCATTCTTTTCTTTCCAAACCAATCTCAACAAAGCGTAAAACCTTTCTCTGTAATTCAACTTCCACTACTGAATCAGACACCTGTCATTAGTACTGAGGATTACTTAAAAGTATATGTGAATATGTACAAACACATAAACATGTGTGTATGCACATAAACATATGTATGAAAACCACAATCAAATAGCACCTATGAAAGCCTGTACTTTTCTTCATAATTGGTTATAAAACTAAAACACTGATTAGTGTCCTTCATTCCCTAAAAAGGTTTTAGTACTATCCAACTACTGGGCTGTGATCATTGGGAAAGGACTAAAACTGTAGACATGCTGGAAGACTAACAAGGAGCACATTTTACAGCAAGTGTTTCCTGGTATTTCAATCTGTTGTAACTTGCATGGCCTGAGAGCCCACATCCTGAGCTTGCTAGAAACCCAGGTCTGTGTTTTGACACTTAGAACGGAAGGGGAAAAAGACAAGAAGGAAGAAAGAACTGCAGAGTATAAGGCCCTATGCAACCCATTCATCCATGCTGGCGTCTGGGAAACGCTGGTATCTCTGCACTCAAGGCAGTGGCCTAATAATTCAATCACCAAGTTGCAAACCAAATTAGATACATAATTCTCCTTAATATTTTATTAAATCATAATGATTAAAACAACACATTATAAATCAGATCATGATCACTTCGGCTAAAGAAGCACCAAACAGCAGTTTATAAAATTATCTTAATACACGTAAAGTAAAAACCTAATCAAAGTATGAAGGCCAAGTACAACAAATCTTTGTTACGTATTTTCTTCCTTTTTCCTATTTTTGCATAAGCATACATGAAGTATACGTATGTTTAACAATTATATAAGATAAACTGAATATAAAGCCATTCATCAATAAGGGACTTTTAATGAAGTATGTCTACATTATTCCAACCAAATTTCAATATTGTTGTACCAAGCTTATTTATTTAGCAAAGAAGTACAAACTAAAGCTGTTATTTTCTTCATTTTAACTAAATACAAAGTCACTAAAAAATCCAGTGAGGTTTGGGCATATAATTGTATGCTTGCCAAACATGAAGTAGTTACGGCAATAGAATGGAACCCATTTATTTGCCAACTAGCCCAGGATACCTTTACTGATAAACTAAAATAAGAGACAACTGGTGACAGCCTTAGCCACACCCATTTGGTAAAAGACACTTAGAATTAAGGGAAACCCTGAGTTCACATTTTAGTAATGAGACTGATGCTGTCCTATGCTACCCACCAATTACTGAGCAGCAGTGTTTCTGGGGGACAGTGAGAGTATGAACCTCACTAGAATTAAGCACACTTTGTCCTGCATTCTCCATCCTCCTAAGTCTTCTTACAGAATGAAAAGGGCCAACCAACCAAACTTCTTCAGCTTGTCCACAGAGTTCCCAAGCTGCCCTCAATCCATACATCCAAACTCTTATCAGCCCTTCCACTGAACCACCTTCCCCTAAACTGGAATCTACCTTTATAAACCTGTAAAGTCCTGAAACATTATCATAAACCTCTAACCCGTGACCACACCCACACAACTCAATCAGAACCAAAAGAAACAGGACAGACAAAGGCCCACCCACTAGAAACAATGCACGATGCCGCTGCATTTTTACTCAAAGGCTATCTCTAATCCAGTACCTGTAATCTCTGGCTCCTTTTCTACTCACCAAAAGTGTCCCAGTTTACTTTAGGAATTGAGGAGTTGGTAACTAATATCAGTATTATATTATTTTTATATTTTGGGGTTTTTGTTTTGTATTTTTGAGACAGAGTCTTGATATGTAGCCCTGGAACTCACTATGTAGACCAGGCTGGCCTCCTGCTCACAGAGATCCTGCCTCTGCCTCTGGAGTGCTGGGATTAAAGGCATGCGCCACCATGCTCAGCTAACACCGTTTTTTGTTGTTGGGGGGGGAGGGGGAGACAGGGTTTCTCTGTGTAGCTTTGAAGCCTGTCCTGGAATGTGCTCTGTAGACCAGGCTGATGTTGAACTCACAGAGATCCTCCTGCCTCTGCCTCCCAAGTGCTAGGATTAAAGGTGTGCACCACCAACGCCTGACTAACACCAGTATTATTATCATCGTATCAGTTTTACTAAGTGAACAGCTTCAAGAAAACTGGTCACAATACCCATATATTTTCAGGTGTAAAGACCAAAATCAAAGGCAAAACCATGTCAGAGTAACTGAGAGGTGTCACCAATATGACTTTCCTACCTGTCTATAGCATAAGCTGTGCTCAGGCTTAGTTTATCATACAAGTCTCTGAGATGTCTTTTGAGACAGGGTCTTACTATGCAGCCCTGGATGGCCTGGCCCTAAAACTCTCTCCCGCATCCCTGATGGTGGGATTACAGGTGCGCATTGTCACACAGCTAGTCATACAACTCTTTTAAAAGACAGATTATTTCAACTGTACAATTATCAATCTAGTGTAACAGAACAACGCCTGACCTTATCCACTGGATTATTGAAAGGTTAACAGTCCCAGATCAGAAGTCTAGAATTCTATCATGCAGTTATATGTAAAGGGATCTCCTTTGTCATCAAGAGAGATACAAGAGATGACTGACAAACAGACAGAGAGCTATATAGAAAGACAGACAGGACAGATTCAAATGAATGCACACTGAAGACAACTGAGAAGAAGTGAAAGAGGGGTCACATGCCCCTTAAACACGTTTAAGGCAAAGACAGGTTTAATGGTCTAAAGATACCAACAGTCATTTCCTTCATCCATTTGTTGAGAAGAAAGAAATGGAAACGTATTTAATCTTCAGCCCATCTCCTACAGCTTGAGATCACCATAAAACAGCAAGGCAGAAGAAGAAAGACGGAAAATAACATGTCTCCTCCCACCCAAGTAAACAAAATCAAACTACCGTTGTCATCTCTGCTGCACAGTTGAGTAACTTACCTGTGTAACCAGAGATCTATCATTGTGGAAATAGTCTTTCTTTTCTTATATCCGCAAGGAGATGAAGCTATGATCTACAACAGAGCTTAAGCTTCAGGCTCTCAGCTTCAGCCTCGGAGACTATAGAAACTCTTAACCGCCTCTCTTTAAAATGGTAAAAACAAAAAAACAAAAACAACAACAAAAAAAAGTATTAAATAAGGAAATTAACTCAGCTAGTAATTTACTCTGATTACAGAAGCACACAGTGTCTTCACAGGGATGTTTTGGTGCTTCCTGCTAAGTGGTCTCAGGGGCACTAAGCAACCAGGACAGAAATGAAGAAACTTGAAATATAACAAATCCTTACAAACAACTCAGTTATTAACTTGAGTAAAACATGACTCAGCCCTTTCTTGCAACTTGCTGTAATCTAAGTCCCCCAGCCCCTCCCTGGCTTAAAGATGACCTAGAGGATTTCTGAAGGATTTCCTAGATTTAAAACTGAGTACAAAACCTAGGGCCTAACAACAACCAGGAGACTAAGCACACAGCTTAACTCCTCTGTATCACAGCACACATGACACACTGAAGACTCAGCTGCCCTTGAAGCTTCTGGTGCTTTCTGCCACATGTATTTTTTTTTCCTCCTCCTCCCTCCCTCTCTGTCTCTCTCCTCTCCACCCACCCCCTTCGTGGTTTTTTGTTTTTGAGACAAGGTCTCCCTACGCAGCCCTGGCTGTCCTAGAACTAACTGTATAATCAAGCTGACTTTAAACTCAGTGACCTTCCAAGCGAGGGGATTAAAGGTGTGCACTACCACGCCCAGCCATATAGACTCTCAACGAGAAAAAAGCAATAGTGAGATGAATGGGATTCATATGTGTGATGTGAAATCCACAAAGAATCAATAATGTTTTCGGAGCTAAATACTCAGTCTGGTATTTTAATTAACTTAATTACATGCTAATTCTTGGCATGTTTATAGCTAACTGCAGTTTTACCAGCATGGTATGGCATCTTTTTTGGAAACTATATACTCTAGCTACCTGGGTTATTAGGAGTGGCCATCTGCAATAACAGCACTACAAGAAAGACAAGCAGACGCTTATCATTAACCTTGCTCCTTTTTTCTAAGCATTAAACTAGGTATTTTTAAATGGATACTATTTAAGTGGGGTATTATAAATTAAGGGCTGGTGTAATCATCAACTCTTTAACCCAGCATTCTATCTAGTAAAAAATGAACAGATTACTGTTAAAGGTGATGTGCTGCCTACTTAGGTATAGCCAACAGAATCTAAGTAAGTATTACAATGATTCAATGCCTGCTATACTTATTTTAATGCACGTAAGATTTTTTTTGTCACTGTAAATGCTATAGTATTTTGCTGGTTTTTGTTTTGTTGAGACAGGGTCTCCCTATGTAGCCCAGGCTAATCTAACTCACAGAAATCCACCTGTCTCTGACTCCTGAGTGCTAGACTTACCCATGTGAGCCAGCATACCTAGCCTGTGGCTTCGAGATAGGGTTTCCAGTAGCCCAGACTGACCTCAAACTTCCCTATGCTGCTGAACTTGAACTACCAAAGGCTGGGATTACAGGAGTGCACAAATAATCATGCCTGCTGCTCTTTTTGTTGGTTTTCAGCAAAGATCTTTCTATATTGCCCTGGATGTCTGGAACTCAGGATGTAGATTAGACCTTATTTTGCCTCCCAAATGCCAGTATTAAAGGCACACACTTCCATGCTCAGCACTTCTGCAATATTTAAAGTAGATTTAAAGTAGATTTGCGTTCTCATTCTAAAATCCCAGAGAACTGACTCTAGGGCTAGAGAGAGGGCTCAGCAGTTGGGAGCACTGCCTGCTTCTCCAGAGGTCCTTAGTTCAATTCCCAGCACCCACATGGTTGCTCACAGCCATCTATAACTATAGTCCCACATGATCCATGCCCTCTTCTGGTGTGCCCACAAAACACTCATAAACATAAAATAATAAAATAAAAAAATGAATGGTACTCTACATCTTTACCCTTGAAATTCCTTATTAGTCTTAGTGCTTACATTAATAAAATATAAAGAAGAGAGGAACAGAAGTATGACCTACCAACTACAGACGGAACCTCTCCTTGTAAATTCTGTAGTACACAAAGTAGAAAACCCGCCATTACCCCTCTATTTGTTTACAGTTCTAAGTTAACATGAAGAAGGGGTACACAGGGAAAACATGACCCTATAAAAAGTAAGCTGAAGACTCCGACTCATAACTTCCCTGCCCTCCCCAGATGTTCATCACAATGCAGAGCAGGACACAGTCCACAGTGGTGGCTACCATCAGGACCCAAGGCTCCATGCACACTAAAATCCCAGCCACAGTGCTATTCATTTCCAGAGGGCTCACTACAGAGTACCATTCACTGTCCTTGCCAAACAGAGTATCTGCTGTTGTCATTTTCACAACAGAACCAATACCTTAGAGCTGCTTGCTTTAGACAGGTTCCCGTGGACATATTTAAAAGCCTGACACACTGAAAACACCAGCCAATGCCTTCCAACTATCTCACAAGGCCTTACAGAGTATCACAGTCTTTTCTTACCTTTTGAAGTGTTTCGCCTCGTACTTAATTCCCAAGCATCTGTATTTATGTGTCATCAATGTCAATGTCCATGCTACACTGAGACTTCAGGAATTATTTATACAGTTGTACTAGCACAACTTGTTATCTGTGAAGGGAAATCACAACATGGTCACTAAGACTACATTACTATTTACAGATTTGTAGATAACAAAAGTATTCCAAGACACACATAGCACACATTATATGAGCAAGTTCCGTAACTAATTCCTTCTATTTACCATGATACATATTATCAGAGCAAGATGATTTGTTAACATTCCTACATACCCAGCATTACACAGGATCAAGTACTCTCAATTTAAATTTCTGCAAAGCAGAGGGCCTTCAGATTGAAGATGTATCTCATTTTTGAAGTTGACAATCCATCAGACATTAACAAGAAAGCACCATTTGGTGTTTTATGACACTTAGAACCTGACAGGGGCCAGCAAGATGACTGAGCAAGTGAAAACATGAACACACACACAATAAATGTGAAAAGAAGAATGACATGACAGGGCCAGGAAGATGGCACCATTGATAACACGCTTGCCACACAGACACAGGACACTAGGTCAGATTCCCCAGGGGAATATGCCTGCAATCCTAAAAGCTTGGCAGTCAAGAGACAGAGATTGCTGGGTCTTGGTGGCCTGCCAGCCTAACAACCTGGTAAAGCACCAGGTTCGGTGAGTGACTCCATCTCAATAAGGCTGAAAGCAAGTGAAGAAGACATCTAACGCTGAGGCACAAAGAAAAGAGGAGGGGTGGGGTCATGAGTTCCTCGTAAACACAACTTGACACTCTTGAGAGGGACTGTGCAGGCTCCAGCGTGGACAACAGCACAGCACTTGTCTGCCATGCACGAGGTCCTAGCTCTCATTTCATGCACCACACATAGACATACACAAAGCATACGTGAACATGCACACACATGGTTCTTTTATAGCATTCTTATCATAGCCTACACCCTCTACAGGACTAATCTATCAGAATAAACAGGAAATTAATGATTCAAAATAAGGTGAAGCTGAGTGTGTGGTAGCTCCAGACTGTAACCCCAACACTCAGCAGTCTAATCAGGCCAAAGGATATATATGTATAGATCCTACCACCATGACAGAGTGAAGTTCTGTCTCAAAAGAACTAATTTAAGGGGTTAAAGATATATAGTTCAATGACAGGATATGGGCTTAGCATGTGTAGGACCTTGAAGCCCAATCTCGTTACTCTCAAACTCAAAAACACCTGCCTTTACCTCCCAAGTGCTAAGATCACAGGTGTGTGCCTCCATACCTGGTTTGAGAATTCTTTTTCCCACCAAACAGGTACATTGAAATACAGCGTGCCAACTTTTTTTAAAAACAAAGTACTTAATGCTGGACAGTGGTGGTGCACACCTTTAATTCCAGGCTTTGAGAGGCAGAGGCAGGGGGATCTCTGAGTCTGACTGAGTCCAGCCTGGTCTCCAGAGTTCCAGGACAGCCAGGGTTACACAGAGAAACTCTATCTTGGAAAACCAAATGAATGAATGAATGAAGTATGAATGAAGTTCCTTTAAAGCAATTGTTACTGGTCATATACCCTGTGATCAGAATGATGGGAGAAAGAATATAAACGAGGTCACCAGGCTCAATAGTGAGCACCTGCTGCTCTGATGCTTAGGAGGCAGAGCTTGAATCCTGCTAAACACTGCAATTCAAAAAGCAAAGTCCTAAGTTATTTCAAGCTTCCCAACACAGAAGGAAAGGAAATGAGTATATTCTGCCATAGTATTAGTATACCAAGTGACGTGACTGGTAGGCTCATGAATGAATGTGTTTTGTGTGTGTGTGTGTGTGTGTGTGTGTGTTGTGCTTATTTCAAACTGCTACTCCAAATTCCCACGTGATAGAAAAGTCAGAAGCTATATGGAAATATACCATGTACAGGTATATAACCATGTACCTGTTTGGTGGGAAAAAGAATTCTCAAACCAGGTATGGAGGCACACACCTGTGATCTTAGCACTTGTGAGGTAAAGGCAGGAGAATAAGAAGCTTAAGGTCACTGTCAGCTACAGCTACAAATATATAGATAGCCAGAGCTACACGAGACCTTGTCTCTAAAACAAAGGAAAAAAATTAACACCAATGCAAGCAAGCCAAATCATTTCCTAAAAAGCAAAGTAATTCAAGAAATATAATGTGATGCCTTTCGTTTATTCACACAGATTTCAAAGGTAGGCATTCCACAAAAAATGAAGCAGATCAAACACTTTGAATTACAACAACATTTTTCATTTGAATTCCTTTAGTAACAAGTTCTAGGCACTTGAAAAATAGCTATTTGTCTTTTAAATGCACAAAATAGAAACAAGCTATGTAAGCCCTGTTCTTAAAGCCTTATTTTATTCGATCCTTGCTACAAAGCTTCGGTTGTTTTCCTGTACTAATAAATTCATGGGCTATTCAAGCATTCAACAGCAAATCTAAAAACCAATCTTCACTGCAAAGAATTCTCTCCTCTACTACACTAGAACTACTGTGTTCATTGGACT